GGGGCTATCTCGAGCGAGAGGGGGGGGGGGGGGGGGCACATCGCCAGGGCGTTTCCCCTTGCCTCCTCGCGTCTCCTCGCCCTGTTGGTGTTGGTGTCGCCTTTCCTTGTTCCTACTTGTGTTCGAAGGTTCAGCTCGGGATGTGCAGAAAGGCGTGCTGTCTGCACGGGGCCGCGCGGGTGGAAGGTCCGAGGCAGCGAGGCGGCGATCCGCAGCGGTGCACCGCGTGGCCGTTCTCCCCAAGCCTCCCGCGTTGGGCTCCCGTTTTGGCTAGAGCGTTGCGGTCGCGACCTCCTCCTCCTCCTCCTCCTCCTCCTCCTCCTCCTCCTCCTCCCGCCCTCTTACCCCTCCTCCTCCTCCTCCTCCTCCTCCTCCTCCTCCTCCTCCTCCTCCTCCTCCTCCCGCCCTCTTACCCTGACCCCTCCTGCGCGCTGGCTACCCTGCCTCCTGCTTCGCGGCTGCCTGGGGTTTAGGTGCAGGCTACACCTCGCCATCCATGGGGGAGCGCGAGCTGCAAGATCGACGCCACGTTCGAGGGCTGCCGGGGGGGCACAATGGAATGACGCCATACGCAGTTTCGGATATGACCTCGCCATCCCTGGGGGGTTACGATTTGCAAAACAGTCAAAACGTTCGATGGCTGTTTGGGGGGCCCATCGGAGTGGCATCTCACCCAGACATGTACTTGACCTCGTCATCCCTGGGGGGGCTGCGAACTGCAAAACTGTCGCCACGTTCGAGGGCTGGTGGAGGGCCAGCGGAGTGACGTTTTACGCCGACCCAGAATAGATCTCGCCATCCTTAGGGCGGGGGTCTGCGAGCTGCGAAAGTGTCGCCACTTGCGGGAGCTGCTGGGGTGGGTCCATCGGAGTGATGCGTGACGCAGACTCAGTTACGACCTCGCCATCAGTGGGGGGGTGCGAACTGCAAAACTCCTGCCATTTTCGAGGGCTGTTGCGGGGGTCTAGTGGAATGACGTCTTACACATATTCAGGTTCGATTTCGCCATCCGTGCGGGGCTGCGAACTGCGCGACTGTCGCCGCTCTCGAGAGCTGCTGGGAGGTCCAGCGGGGTGGCGCCTGACTCGGATCCAGGCTACACCACGCAATCCCACGGGGTCCGCGAACTTCGAAGCTGTCCACTTTCGAGGGGCTGCGGCGGGTATCCAGCGGGGCAACGTTTTGCCGCAGAGTCAGGTTCGACCTCGCCATCCCTGCGAGGCTGCGAGCTGCGAACCTGTCGTCACTTTCGGGTACTGCTGGAGAGCCCAGCCGAAGGACGTCTTTCGCATCTTCAAATTCGATCTCGCCATCCTCCGACGAGGGCGAACTGCGAAACCGCTGCCACTTTCGATGGCTGCCGGGGGATCCAGCGGGATGACATCATACGCCGACTGAGGTTTTACCTCGCCATCCTTGGGGGGGGCTGTGATTTGCGAACATGTCGCCACTTTCGAGGGCTGCTGGGGGGTCCACCGGATTGACGTTCTGCACAGGCTTGTACTTGCCATTTTCGAGGGTTGCTGGGGGTCGCAGCGGAGTGACGTCTTACGATGATTCTGGTAAGACCTCGTCATCATCGGGCGGGCGGCGAACTGCGAAGTTGTCGCCACTTTCAAAGGCTCTAGGGGGGGCCAGCGGGGTGACGTCTTACCGCGGATCCAGATTCGACCTCGCCATCCTTGCGGGGCTGCGAACTGCAAACTTGTCGTCACGGTCGAGGGCTGCTGGGGGATCCAGCTGAGTGACGTTTCACGCGGACTCAGATTAGACCTCGCCATCCCTGGGCGACTGCGAGCTGCGAAACCGTTGCCACTTTCGAGGGCTGTTGCGGGGTCCAACGGAGTGACGTCATATGGCGACTTAGATTTGACCTCGCCATTTCTGGGGAACTGTCAACTGCGAAGATGTCGTCACTTTCGAGGGCTGCTGGGGTGCCAAACGGAATGACGCCCTACGCAGATTGGGCGGTAGGGTTCGAAGTAGGGTGTTAGTGCTATGTAGGGGTAGGGTGTGAGTGCTCGGGCGTTTAGGGGGGCAGGGTTCGGGTCAGGGTGTTACGGTTAGGGCTCAGGGCGATTTGGTTCAGTTTAGGGTGTTGGGGTTAGGGTGTTAGGGTGTTCGGGTCAGGGTGTCAGGGGTGGGTGCCAGTCAGGCTCAGGGTGCTAGGGATAGGGTGTTAGGGTTCGGGTTAGGGCTTTTTGGTTAGGGGGTAGGGTTCTGAAGCTAGGCGGGCGGCGTTGCCAAAGTGGGGGGGGTCGTTTTGTGTTTCCAAGGGGGGGGGGTCCGGAACGACGAATCGGGAAGAGGGGGGGGGGCTTGGGCGACGGACCGGGGAAGGGGGGTAAGGTTTTTTTTTCGATCCCCAGACATTCCCCATCCTGGGGCATCCAGCGAGGCGCCCTCCTTCATATGAGGATCTCAGAATTCCTTGCTTGTTGGCGGATTTCATGCGGATTTCTTCGCATGTGCTCCATCTGGACGAAAGAGTGGAGAGGGGCGGTCGACATCTGGACGAAATCTGGCCCAAATCACGTTAACGATGGGGCTGTGGAGATGCACAGAGGCCCCCTTAAAGGCTCGCCCAGAAGTTCCAGGGCGGGCCGCCCTTGGGATTCCACAGCCAGTTTTTCTCTTACATATCGTTCCACCTATCGGCGCGGCCCCCCGCCCCCCTCCCCCGCATCTCCCCCCCCCCCCCCCCCAGAAACCAGATCTTGGACACGTTTGGCGGCTGCTCTCGGCGACTGGTGACGGCCCCCCCCCTGTCTGCTTCCGCGGTTGTGGTTGGCAAGGGCAGATCGGCGACGCACCCGCCCGGACCCCCCCTTTCCCCCACCCGTCGGTCAAGCGTCGACACCCAAGTTATGAAAACGCCCACCAGGATGCCAAGGAACATTGAGGTGCGGGCGCGCCCTTCGTGCGCAGTGTGGGTGCGATCTCTGACGCCAAAAGGTTGCTGCTCGGACGGGTTTCGGCCTGCCTCGCGGCCAGCGCGCATGGGGCGAGGGTGCTGCAGGCACTGGCGGTCCACCAGAGTGGTTTCTCGGACGAGGCTCAGATGTCACGCGGCAGACGTGAGGCCGAGGGTATTGGGTCCACCGTTGTATAATGATTCAAACGGTAGGGCCCCGCATGAGAATCTCCCAAGCTGACACGAAAGGAAACCTCATCGTCGTTCTTGTTGGTGCAGAGGCTCTCTCCCGTTTCCTCGTCGCCCTTCTCCTTTTCGCCTTGGCGGTTTCCCTCTTCCCGCCCCCGGTCATGTCTCCTCCCCCTCGTCCTTCTGCTTCTTCTCACCCATCCACCTCCTCCCTTGCCCCTTTAGCAAGGGCGCGCAAGTCGATGTTCATTGGCTCTGTTGCCGCCACGGCAGGCACGGGTGCGTTTTCCGATGGCCACACCGCAAACCGGTGGGACAACCCCGTGGGCCAGGCCGTCGGGGAAACCCCTACGAACCGCTGGGGCGCGGGAGCAAGCCGTTGGGACACCCCCGCATGTCTCGAGCTAGTCGCGGCCGCGTGCACGCGGGAGGTAAACCGAAACCCAGATCTACAGCGAGCTGTTCCGCGTCAGCTTTGGACATCCCAGCTCTCTTATCGAATTTCCTGAGCGCCTTGCGCAAAGAAGCCGGCGACCCGCGCTGGTGGAATCTTCGCGCGGGCGGCCGCATGATCAGCACGTTTCGCATGCACGTCCTCGCCAGTGGGTCACAGACGAGGCCCCCTGTCGAGACTTCCGCCACATTCAAGCTTCAAGAGGCGAGGAATGATGCCAACTGACCAGGTTCCCTCTGGAGATCTCGGGTATGTTCGAAACCTTGGGAGGCCAAAAGCGAATGTTTTTACAGGGCTGGTGCCTATGACCCGCCTGGATTGGCAACGTGAGCTGCGGGCCCCATGGGGAGGGGGCTCCCGCCTGGGACTTCTCCGCAACCCACTCACAGACCAGGCTCCCGTTCCGAATTCCCGTCGCATTCAGGATTGAGCAACCAAATAATGAGTACAGTTACCTGGTTCCGATGACCCTTTTCGGATTGGCAACGTGAGCCGCGGTTCCCATGAGGAGGGGAGTCCTGTCTGAGACGTCCTCACAATTCAGTCACAGACGGGGTTCCCGTTCGAGGTTTTTGCCGTTTTCATGGCTCGCGAACCCAAGCATGAATACAGTTGCATGTTTCCAGTGGCCCGCCCAGATTGGTAACGTGAGTTGCGGGTTCTATAGGGAAGGGGCTCCCCCCTTGAGACTTCCTCGCACTTTTTGCAAAGACGAGGCTCCCGCTCGAGTTTTTCCATTCGCAAGAGTGCTCAGCCAAAACGTGAGGACATGACCAGGTTCGGGCGATCCGCTCGCATGAATTACGTGAGCTGCGGGCCCCGTGGAGGGGGGGGGTGTTCCCAGAGAGTTCCTCGCAATTCACTCGCAGACAAAGCTCCCTCTTGACATGTCCAGATGAATGTATGTCTGCGTGTGCGATGATGGTGATGGTGATGTTGTTGGCGATGATGATGGGACACGGGTGATGGCAATGACGGCGGGTATGATCGTGTGGTGGTTGGTGTGAAAAACGTTGTGTGAAGATGATGACGGTGATGACCGATGGCCATGATGGGATGATGGTAGTGATGATGTTGATGATGATACGCGTGGTTGTGATGGCGAGTGCGAGAACATGGAGAGGAAGAAACGGGGTGTGAGGCGAGGTGTGTGAGGACTGCGTGGGGGATGCGCAGATAAAAAAAATGAGAACACCTATCTGGATGTGGGGAGAAACCGTCTACATGTTTCTCCTCATTCACCTGAAGGGGCCATGCGATTCCAGCATGGTTGAGGCAGCAGTTTTGCGAAAGAAAAAAAGAGTGCTCTGCGATTCGGTTGTCGACGTCCAGCTGTGGATTCGTGTGTGTCTTGGCTTTGTTCCCGTGCGAATTGCGGAGCCGGTGCCAGCATACAGGTGGGCCCGCTGTCAGAAAGAAGCGTGGAGCGAAGCTCTCTGTCAGGTGGTGAAGTGGGTGGAGGACCATCAGGGCGAGTACGTCTTGTCGACCGACACAGATATCCAGTTCTTCCCGCGGTTCTTTCAAGTTCAGCAAGAATGGCTTCTTTGGATGCGCAGGATTCTGTTTCATTCTGCATTCAAGGGTCTTTCACTGGGTCTCACAAGAGTTTTGTTATCACAGTCATCCCGTCGGGTATCGTACAGCGTCCGATCCGAGGTAATGATGCATTCCGACGGTTAGCGGACCCTAGAAGCGACGAGGTTGTTTCCCCGTCTTCGTCTTTACATGCTTCCTGTTTCCTGCGCCGCGTTCTTTTACAGGAGGCGCATCTTATAAGACACCAGTTTGCCAGGAAGCGCCCCACTGGAATTTCTTATCCCGCAGAGGCCCTAGGAATCCCCAGGGTTCTTTGGGTACCTCAGGAGGGTCAAATATGGCCGATGGATGTCCCCTTCGACTTCTTATGTAGGATCCCTCATCGTACACATCGGCTGCATCGCTTCCGTCGCGAGCTGGCGTCTCGCTATAGTCGTCGTCTCGGGCTGGTGTTTGGCGTAGCTTTTCACCGTTTTGGGGTTGCCCCTTCTCTCTCTAGTTTTCAAGTCCTCAGGTTGCCCCCTGGTTCAGGTCGCAGTTTCTTGTGGCTCTGGGACATTTCAGTTAGGTTTCCAACCTCCTTCGCGCCCCAGGACCCACCACCAACCCTCCCGCCGCCCCCGTGGTTAGTGCTCTTCCCGCTGTCGTCGCGTGCGATGGTTGTTGTTTTTTTGTGCCGGCCGCTTCGATAATTGGTGGAACATGCGTTATCATGTTTGGGAGTCAGTTTTTCGGAAGAAGAACCAAATTTGCCGCTTCACGGGCCTACTGAGGCTCGGCGGATGTACAAGTGCGGGGTGCACATTGGAAGTACACGTTCGCGGCGTCCAGTATGTAGCCCCCCCGCAGTTTAAAATGAGAGTGAGGGGGTGGGGGGAGGGGTCGTGGGTGGTTCGCGCTGGCGTGGGACGCCATGATATTCTCCAACACCGATGGGGGGGAGCCCGCCGTAGGCGCTGATTTCTGCTAAAAGCAATGTGGGTGGGTCCTGGGCTGGGTCGTCGGCGTCGCCGAGTTGGTCGGGTGGGTCACGGTCGCGGGTCACCGGGCGGGTCGCAGGTGGGTCGCGCGTGGGTCGCGGGGTGGGTCGCCAGTGGTTCGCGGGGTGTCTCGCGGGCGGAAGCCCGTTGCAGCCACGCACCGTGGGACAGCGCAAGACGGTTAGGCCTCCTCATTCCGAGACCCATTCAAGATGTATGTGGTGCTAATTGTGTCGAACAGCTGGTAGTGTTCGCCATCTGGGTGCATGTGGGCGCCCGAGAGATTAGAAAGCACTACCATCGCCCTCGCAATTTCGCATGAGAGTGAGGGGGCGAGAGGGGCCTGTCTGCAGCTTGTCAGGCTCGACAACATGTTGTTAAGACGCCCGCCGCATGCGCCAAATTTTCACACATTGCATAACCAGCCCGCCGCAGGCGCCGTCTTGCCGTCGAAGCAATGTGGGTGGATCGCGAGTGGGTCGCGGGTGGGTCGCGGGTGAGCCGTGCGTGGGTCGCAAGTTGGTCGCGGGTGGTTGGCAGATGCATCGCGGGTGAGTTGCGGGTGGTCGCGGTTGGGTCGCGGGCGAGGACGTCAACAGCAGGAGCATTAAACAACAATATGATTGACCTTTTGTGTATCTTCACCAGCCCGTCAACAAGTAATCACCATGGGTCGCAGTCAGGTCGCCTTGGGGTCGCTGGTGGGTCGCGGGCGAGTTTTCACCTCGGAAGGCTAGTTTCACCACGGCACGCAACCAGGGATGATGTAAGCCCGTTTGCCCTCCTCACATTGCTAAATACGCTGGCCGTGAGTCACGCAGTTGGGCGTTCATCGAGTGGTCGGGGAGTGCTACAAGCGCTAGCCGTGAGTCGCGCAGTTGTAATCTCGTCGAGTGGCCGTGAGTCGCGCAGGAGTGAGCTCGCAGGTGCGGATAAGAGTGAGGGGACGGGGTCGTCGGCAGTTTGCCAGGTTCGACGGCCAATTTGCAGAAGCACGCCGCAGGCCCCTAATATTTGTCACACTGCGAAGTGCGCCCGCCGCAGGTGCCGTTTTGTCGTCAAGACAGTGCGAGTGAGTCGCGAGTGGGTCGCGGGTGGGCCGCGGTTTGATCGCAAGAGGGTCGCTGGTGGGTCGCGGGTGGGTTGCAGGCCGGGGGTCGCGGTTGGATCGCAGTTGGGTCGCGGTTGGGTCGCGGGTGGGTTGCAGGTCTGTCGCGGGTGGTTCGCGGGAGGGTCGCGGGCGGGTCGCGGGCGGGGCACGGGCGAGGACGACAGCAAGAGCAACAAGCAACAAAAATCTTCATCGCGGAAGCCCATTTCAGGCACGCACCCAGGGATGGTGTAGCACTGTTCGGCCCCATCGACCATTATATATGCACATGTGTACATATATGTGTATGTGTGCGTGAGCACAGACGAATCTACACATACACATATTACGTATATTGCTGAGGGGGGGAAGAGGGCAATTCAGATGGAGGGCTACAGAGAGACACGGATATATACACACACATATATATATACACATGTATATATATAGAGAGAGGGAGAGAGAGAGAGAGAGAGAGTCATACAAACGTGTGGTTACACATCTACTTGTGTATATATATACATGTGTTTATGTATTTATTCACATTCTGGAGCTATAGTATACACGCGCTCGAGATACATGGCCATTTGTCTGCTTCACCGTGCCCCGCTACCCACCATGCCCTTCGGATCCGCAGCGAGACACGGTTAACTGTAATACGTTTACGCCGGTTCGCTACAGTCGTTCGAACACGCAATCATGTTAGAAGTCGCCGTAAGGGTCCGTTCGGCGCACCACGTTCAGCCATTTTATCCCCACTTTGTTTGGTTGATGTTCCCCTTCGGCTCGCGCACGCTGTTCTGCAATGTCCCACATTGGCCCGAGCTGCTCTTCTGACTTCTTGGTCTTCCTGGCATCTGAGCTGAGTACGCTTGGCTCGGAGCGGGCCTGTTGTCACCCAGGTTTGCCGTTCCATCTCGAGTAGGACACAGCAACGCTGCTGGGGTAAAGCATGTTTCGTTTAGCTTTGAAGGCTACTTACATGTCAGCCCTATTCGCCCTACCTCCCGCCATCACCTTACCTTACCCGCCGCTCTTCCAAGCGATGGCTTGCTTCAAGGGCGTGATCCAGTAGAAGTCGGCTGTTGCTCTTCTCAGCGTACTTACGCTTAGCGTGCTCCCTCCTTGTGTGTTCCTCAAGGTTGCTCTCCAGTCATGTGTTGGTATTGTTCTTTGTTAGAACTATTTGACAGCGTGGGCCCCGAATGGTGGGTTCCTGCACTTTTGATCGGCAGCATCTGTGGTGCATCCCGCATATGCTGCAGCCAATGTGCTTCACTTGCGTTTCCAAATCATTGGTGTTTTATCTGTAGCTGAAAAGCTTCATCCTGCCACGCTGGGAAGACTCATGGTGCTGTTGTTGTCCTTTCGACATGTGCGTGGGCGGGGGGTGTTGGCCTGTGGCCCGAGTGGTGCTAGTTGGCGGGGGTGACGGGCGGCTCAGGACTCGGTGTTGAAGCGGCGACAGCTGGTGCGCCCGACGAGAGGGCGGCCGGTGCTCCGCACGGCCTTGTGGAGGACGATCAACGGAGATGAAGCATGTTGCCAAAGAACTTCCAGATGCCTCAAACAGGTATTAAGCATGTGTTGCGCATGTAAAAAACATGTCCAAAACATGCTGATAATATTTGTCCGACAGTTTGAACACATTTGAAATTCAATGATAGGACTGTTAGGGTGTCCATTGTCGTAGCATCCACATGCATAGCCTGCGGGACCCTTTGCCTCGTCGACTCGCGGGCTGAGCCCCATCGTCCGCCCTTCGCCCTCAGTGGCCCCTGCGGGCGGCGGCGATTTCAGGCGGGTCTCGCTGCGCCCGCCGAGATGCAGTTTCTTGTTCGAGTGGGGGCCGCCCCGCCGCCAAATGCTTTTCGGTAGAGTGTGTGTGTGTGTGCGTGTGTGTGTGCGTGTGCGTGTCTGTGTGTGCGCGTGTCCTCACAACAATTCCGTCTTCAGGGTGCATTTGGAGTGCGCCAGCGTCTGGTAATCCGATGCAGCGCCGCTTTAGCATCGATGGAGCGACGATCAGCGTCGATCCGCATCGATTCGGCGTGGACTGGAGTCGATTGGCGTCGACTGGCTTCGGTGGGCGTCGAGTCGCAAGAGCCGACAAGATGGTCTTGGAGGCTCCCACGAGTTGCCGCCGAGCCGTGCACCCGCAGCTGCAGCCACCTGTCGGCAGTGAAATCCGAAATTGTCGGCAGCGAAATCCGAAACCCACCCTCTCAGATCAACGTTCGAGGCAGCTCGATGAGTGGCGGGGGTAGGGCTCGGAATTCGTCGAACGCGTGGCGAAATCCGAACCCTACCCCCGCCTCCCATCGATTCAGGAGAGCCGATGGCTGGTGGGGGTTAGGCATGTGGAAGTCGATAAATGAAGATGACGCATGCTGCCAAGTAATTTCCAGATGACTAGAAGATGTTTCAAATATGCTGTAAATCTGTTAAACACATGTTTGAAACATCTGTAGAAAATGTCTTACAATGTTAAGCGCGTCTCTAATTCAATGATAGGACTGTTAGGGTGTCCAGTGTCGTGGCATCCAGAAGGCTAGGGAGTTCGGATTTCGCCAGTCCACCTGGCAAAAAAAAAACACTCGCCTCGGGCCAGGCCCCGCGGCGACCGCCAAGCCAGGGGCACGACGGCTCTGCGTCCCGCGGCCCGGCCAGGCCGCGGGGTGGTGCCTCAGCTCACCGGGCCGAGCCCAGCTCTTCCAGCTCGGGGCTCAAGAGACTCGGGGGCGGAAAAGAGCGGGGTGATGACTAGGGGGGGGTGGATATCATGGCGCGGGCCATGATATCTCCGCAGGTTTCATGGCGCCTCTTCTTATTTCATTACGTCCCAGACCCCCCTGCTGGGCTGCGCACATGCCGCCGGTCATGATTTGCAACCCCCCCTCTTGGACACCCTCCTCTTGGCCGCTCCCGAGAGAGGTCAATGCAACCAGGG